TGTATTGCACCCCCACAGGGAAATCTTTAGTAAAAGGCGAAAGATTTATCCTAAACGGATTATGATCCATCATGCTCCCCATTATGCTTCTAGTTGCATGTGCGCACAGTATTACCTGCATCAGATTAATTGCATAGGTACTATCCTAGGCGGATTGGCGTGGGTCTCCGTTTCGTCGGTTTGCCTGCATCCTTGGGTCTTTTTACTCCAGACCTCCAGTAGAGTCCGGTGCGATCATGTACGAAAGGACAACCGACGCTCAGTTAGGGTGTCTACCGATACTCCATCCACTGTATCAGTCGTATTGACAGAGTGTTGCCCTCCACCCCCCGCCTTTACGAACGAACCGGTTGTATTTGGTCGCAGGGGTTTGGTTGAAAACTGTGACGCCTTGTAAACACCGCCATGGCCGAATTTTCTTAGCCTACGAAAACCAGAAAGGCATTTAGAAAGACGGCCGAAGCCTGAAATATGCTTGACGAACGTTCGCTAGTTTTTCACTGCTTTCTGCAGTTCGAAGTATGAGGAGTAAGGGAAAAGGGGCCCTTCCGCGAAAGCCCAAGAAGGGTAAATATTTCCATCCTCCTACCCTAATCCAAACCTAAACCCAAGCTTAATTCCAATCTCAAGCCTAATTCTGCACCCAAAGTTAGCCCTGACTTTAACCTTAAACCCGACAGCGAGCCCAATCACTTTGCAAACTAACGCACAGCACCCGAAGCGGGAGTAAGTCCAAATTCCCGTGTCTCGCCAAGTTCAAAACTTTCGGATGTCAATGGAAAGGAACAAAATTCACTCTCCACGGGACAGAAGTTGGACCGTCCAATGAGAGGATTTATTCCGTTTTTAAGTTTGCTTTGAGTATTTACTTCATTTCAATGAAAAGATTACGGTCAGATCTCATTTCGTAGCCGTTCCCGCAGTAGACAAGCCCCAGCCTGACCCTTAATCCCTAGCTCTACTCACAACCTTAACGCCTTACTCTGACCCCTAACCTCTAACAGGCACGGCTACAAAATGACATCTTGCCTAGATTACTGTGAAGGCAATCGCATATCCATGCAGGGAAAGGATGTCGAGGTTTTCTAAGAAAGCTAACCAGGTGTTTTGTGTGACAACTACATTCTATTGCAGTCCTCGGCAGAGTAAGGCAAACACGACGATCACTGCTGCTCAACAAGGGCGGCCTAATGACGATAACCTATGCTTGAGTTACTTTGTAATGTGGTGGGCTTGAGAAGCGTCTACCTCGTTTTCCCTCCTCCCTAATCATGCTCCAATGGCAAGACAAGCACAAGACGACCGGGGAGAAGTCCGAGCGCGGGGCTGACAAAGCTAAATAGCCCGTATACGCGTCCTGCAAACTGGCCGATCCTCAATCCAGACGCACGGGGACACAGTGACGGCAGCTCGATCTTACGTGAGTAAAATGCCATAGAGGTCACATTAGCAAGGAGCCCGACTCTCGGTCCTGCAAAAGAGGAAGTTATCTCGTCAGCCAGCAACCTTCTAAGCTACGACTGGTGGGACGTTGTGATTGTTTCAGGTGCGTTCGATTTAGTGTAGCGGGAGTGGGAATGTGCGGATATGCCATGAAGGTGGATTCCCAAGCCCCGGCCTTACTCACTCTTCCCTCCTACATGCGTCGTCAGTCGACAGTCCGTGCTTTTCACCCGCCGGCTGATGTTGTAGGGTCAATAGCTGGCTCGGCGTGAGGACGCGCCACTAGAGACCCGTACGACAATTTTTAAGACCGCTTGCGGGATGGATAAACACGTGCCATGAGCCAGCCCGACTCCTCGTTCTTGTCCGGTTCACCTGTGACGCAACCGTTTGTGAGGTACGGGTACAGTCGCTAAGGAGGGGGACGCATACTAGAATCCTGTACTACCAGTCGCTGTGCGGCTGCCTCGGGGTCTCTAGATCGAACCACATGTCGAAAGTCGTGTGCTCGACAAGACAAAGATTCCCAATCAAAAATCAGGGAAGACGGTTTGAGTTGGACAACCTTTACTGACTGAGAAAGTGAGTACACAAGGGCTCTGTAGGCAGTCGCCGCGAGCGCGCTGCAAGCAAGCTGTTGCCAGTGTGTCCGCCTTCGGGGTGTTTTTAGCGCGTGTGTGCGCCCTTCGTTGTCTCCACGTCGCCAGCCAATCAGAGTGGGGACAGCGTTGATTGGCTTCGAGCACTCGCGCGTCCCAGCAGCGTATCGACACGGAGTGTGAGGCGGACAGGACGGCAGCGTGACAAAGGCGGAGGGCGAGGAGACGCGAACTGTCACAGTACCCGACGGCTAGACCGAAGGCGACGCGTAGCGATGCCGGAGGAATTGCTGATGTCTAAAAAACATGAGTAACCAAACGGTCAGGAAAATGAACATGGCGTCCACTACTGATGATATATACAGGGGGCACAGGGGTAGAGTGAGTGTGGCTCGCAGTTACAGTGTTGTTGGCTGATGAAGGAGTAGTTGCAGTTGTGGGTTGTGGACATTAGGGCAGAGGAAATATAAGGGACGGAGGGATAGAGGCTGCATGGGGGGAAGCAGAAGGTTGAGGACCACAGGGCTCATCCGGAGGAGTGTCAGGGACGGCAGCTTTGAGACGGTCAACGCTCACGACCTCCTCACAAGTTCCGCGTTGGATGCGGAAGTTCTTCGTCCCACGAGAGATAACTCGGAATGGGCCGTCGTAGGGTGGTTCCAGGAGCCGGCGGACTCGATCACATCGGACATAGACGTGAGAGCACGTTACCAAGTCCTTCTCGAGATAAGACGGAGAGGCGGAGGACCTGGGAGGAACCAGAGAAAGTGCCAGCATAAATTGCCTGAGGCGATGCAGGACGTTGGTGGGATCCTCAACTGCACCTCGCGGGATTGGCGAGATCATCTCACCGGGAAGTCGGACGGTGGCGCCGAACACCAGTTCAGCTGCGGAACAGTCAATGTCCGGCTTGAGAGCGGAGCAGATGCCCAAGAGGACCAGGGGAAGGTGGTCCGTCCAGTTCTTCGGATCGTCTGTGGCGCGTAGGGAGGCCTTCAGCTGGCGGTGAAACCGCTCGGCCATCACGTTGGCTGCCGGATGATAGGCTGTAGTGCGGATGCGAGTACAGCCTAAAAAGGAGAGTAAAGACTGGAAAAGGTTAAACTCAAACTGGGCACCGCGGTCAGTCGTGATTGTGGAGGGTGATCCAAAGATAGCAACCCAACGACTGAGAAAAGCCTTGACCACCGTTGGAGCAGCACTGTCAGGCAGGGGAATAGCTTCAGGCCACCGAGTAAACCGATCCACACAGGTGAGGAGATAGGAACAACCATTGGACAGAGGCAGGGGGTCTACAATGTCCAGGTGAACGTGGCCGAACCTTGCACCAGGGCCAGGGAAGGTGCCAATGGGGGCCTTGATGTGCCGCTGAATCTTGCTCCGTTGACAGGCGATACAAGCCCGTGTCCACGCCTTGAGGTCCTTGTGCATACCAGGCCAGACAAAGCGGTCGGAAACCAGCTTGTCGGTTGCTCGACTCCCAGGGTGAGACAGATTGTGCAGGGAGGAGAAAACTTTGCGGCGGAGAGATGGTGGCACAAATGGACGATGGGAAGGGGTGGATACGTCGCCTAGAATAGTGCCGTTGCCAGTTTTCAGTGGTAGTTCCTGAGGGTGGAGTCCGGAAACATCCTCAACACAGGGTGGACCGACACGGCGTTGTTCAGAGGCCATCTCAGCGAGGTCTATCCCGGGTGAAAGCTGAAGATGAGCAATACGACGACAGTTGGGCCATCGATTTCAATGATGTCTACCGTGTGCCCCTCAGCAGGTGCGAGCGGGGACGGTGACTTGCGCAGAAGTTTATAATGCCGGTAGACTTGCGCTGCATCTACCTACGCTTTCTTCTCCTCCCCTGCCTGAGCCCGGTGTCAAGACAGAGTCAAGAAGACCGGAGACGAGAGAGGCCGCAGGTGGATGGCTCGGACGGATCCTCACCTTGGCGTTCGGCCACACCCCCTGGTCCACACAAAAATGACCAGGATTTCAACCAACACAACAGAGATTTGGAGGCTGGCATGACCTAAGCCGCACCTAGGCGTGCCGCCAACGCCTGGCTCAGATCCCACACTGTGGTGGGAGTGCCATAAAGGCCACATTAAAAAGGAGCCATTGCAGCCTGACTCTCGGACCACCACCAGTCAAGGAGGAGGTCCAAGTTACCCCGTCAGTTGGCAACCTTCCAAGCCACGGCTTTTAACGCACCGTGATAGCTTCAAGCGCGTCAGATTGTTTATAGTGAGGAAAATGCGTTGAGTCGTCGACCTCACTCTCCCTTCCCATTCCCACACCCCAGTCGCTGTCCGAGCCTGTTAGCAGACTGGAGTGGGAGATAGGCGCGTGGCTGCCATGGTCGACTGCCCATGACTGCGCGCGCCACAGCATGACCTGGCCCCCCATACAAACAAACACCAGGATTTCACACAACGGACGTTGAGCGGCTTGTCTCTCACTTGCGTGAGAGTGCCGTGGAAGGTGCTGTTTCAGCCTGCCGTCCAGCCCACCAGTCCGCCACTCCACACACACACACACACACACACACACACACACACACACAACGCGACGAACTGCGTGAACCGAGAGCGGGCGTCAATCAGCAACCTTCCTATACGCGACGCTTGACGTGTCGGGATAGTCTCGGACTCAAGTCACCCGTGCAGCCGAAACCGCATGGGGACCGAGTGGAGATGCACACTTCCCACTTGCGTGGGAGGTGGCAGTTGGGTGCATGAGGTGTGTGAGTGTTGATGTCTGGTGGGGTGATGATGATGATGATGATGGTGGTGGTGGTGGTGGTGGTGGTGGTGGTGGTGGTGGTGGTGGTGGAAGGTAGGGAGTGAGTGAATGCGTGATGTGGCCGACGGTTGTCTACCGCAGGTCGTCGTTGATGCGCATGTGGCCGAATAGGCCCATGCGATGCCTGAAAGTGCGAGGGCAGTGTGGGCTGTTGAGACGAGCTTATTGGGTATGGGTTAGTGCTCCAGGCACTGGTTCGCCAGTCTCTGTGCGATGGATTCGCAAGTGACCGACCAGGCCGATGCGTGAGGTGAATGTGCGTGGACAGTGTGGGCGTGAGAAGTCGGCGGTGTCAGTGTTAGCTACAGAGGAGGCGGTGGTGGTGATGGTGGTGGAGCGGACGGATGGAACGAGGGTGGGGGTGTGCACGGTGGATGTGTTGGATGCGGTGGGTGTGTCGGGAGTGCGGTCAAGGCCGCTCTCGTGGATGCGAATGTGGCCGAAAAGGCCCATGCGATGCCTGAAGGTGCGAGGGCAGTGTGGGCAGTGGAGGCGAGTGCGGTGGGTGTAGGTTGGTGCTTCACGCACTGGTTCGCCAGTCTCTGTGCGATGGATTCGCAAGTGACCGACCAGGCCGATGTGTGAGGTGAAGGTGCGGTCGCAGTGAGGGCAGGTGTAGTCCTGATCCTCATCGCTGGTGTCGGTGGTGGTGGTGGTGGTGATGGTGGTGGTGGTGGTGGTGATGGTGGTGGTGGTGGTGATGATGATGATGATGATGGTGGTGGTGGTGGTGGTGGTGGTGGTGGTGGTGGAGGTTTTGGTGGTTGCGCGCGTGGTAGTCGCCTGAGCGGCCGTCATTGGAGCAGTGGAGGAGGAGGATGATGGAAGTGGTGGGTCAGAAGAATTGTCAGGGTTAGTTGGCGGCGGAGAGGAGGAGGAAGAGGCAGGCGGGGGGACGATGGTTGAGAGGCGCAGTTAATCCGAAGATGTCCAACAAGTCCGATTCGAGCCCGGATTGTCCGTTGACATGGAGGACACGTTGGGAGCGGTTGTGCGGCGGCGTTGCCTACTGGACGAAGTTGTGATTTGCGGGCTTCGCGTTTCACTTTGGCGGCAGCGATGCGATTGGTTTCGTAGATCACAGCGCTTGTCTTCACTGTCCTCCTCCAGGTCGGTCGATCAAGTGCGAGCTCCTCCCAGTTGGTGGGGTTGATTTGCAGGCATTTCAGGGAGGACTTCAGGGTATCCTTGTAACGGCGAATTTCGCCTCCTTGACGGCGAGAACCCGTCGCGACGTCTCCGTAGAAGAGTCGTTTGGGTAGTCCGTCGTCGTCCATGCGCACCAGGTGGCCGCTCCAGCGCAGCTGTATTTGCCTCAGCATGGTGAAGATGCTGAGGATTTCCGCCCGTTCCAGCAAATCAGTGTCAGGGATTCGATCCTGCCAGTTCAGCTTCAGGATGCGACGAAGACAACTGAGGTGGACGTGGTTCAGTCGGCGTGCCTGTTTTGTGTATACCGTCCAAGTCTCCGCTCCATACAGTAGCGTCGGCAGGATGACGGCCCTGCACATCTTCAGCTTCGTGCTCAGCTGAAGACCGTGACGGTTCCAAACTGTGCTTTGGAGGCGACCGAAGGCTTGACTGGCTTTCGAGATCCTGTTGGCGGCTTCGTTATCGATCTTGGTGTTGCAGGCGAGAGTGCTGCCCAGATACGGGAAGTTCTCCACAACCTGCAGTTGGGTTCCGTTCACGCTGATATGCGGCGGCGCGTTGGGGGCTGTGGCTGAGTTGGGTGGCGGTTGGTGCATCACCACCGTCTTCTGCGTGTTGATGACCAGCCCAAAGTTCTCGCAGACAGCGGAGAATAGGTCCATGCTGCGTTACATCTCCTCTTCCGAGGTGGTGTTCAGGGTGCAGTCGTCGGCGAAGAGAAGTTCGTGCACGGTGGCTGTGGATACGCGCGATTGGAAGTGCATCCGCCGTTGATTCAGGAGGTGACCGTCCGTCCTGTAGGCGATGCGGATTCCAGGGCGTTCGTCGCGGTAGGCGTCCATCAGCATGGCAGGGAACATAAGACTGAAAAGGGTAGGCGCCAGCACGCAGCCCTGCTTCACTCCGTTGGTCACTGCGAATGCCTCTGAGACAGCTCCGTTGTCCGTGACTCGCGCCATCATACCGTTGTGCAGCTGACGCACCATCTGAGTGAATCGCTCCGGACAGCCGAATTTCTTCCACAGTCCTTCACAATTCACCGTGTCGAAGGCTTTCGTCAGGTCCACGAAGGTAGAGTACAGGTGGGTCCGCATCTCCTGACACTTCTCCTGAATTTGACGGACGGCGAAGATCATAACCATGGCCCGCGATGACGGCGGAAGTCGCACTGGCTTTCTGGCAGGAGGCCCTGTTCGAGATGGTTATTGAGGCGGTTGAGAAGGATGCGAGCGAAGATCTTCCCGGCGATGTTCAGCAAGGAGATGCCACGGTGATTGTCGCAGACTTGGCGGTTCCCTTTTCGCTTGTATAGGTGCACGATGGTTGCGTCCTTGAAATCTTGCGGGACTTCACCTTGACGCCACATCTCCTGGAAGAGCACAGTCAGGTGATCCATCAGATGGGGACCTCCGTGCTTGTAGACCTCGACAGGGATTGCGTCCGATTCGGGTGCTTTCCCGCTGGAGAGCTGCTGCACGGCCCTGATGGTCTCCTGGAGAGATGGCGGGAGGTCGAGGTCCACGTTGGTCTCTACTTGTGACAAACGCTCGATGGCGGCGTCAGAGATGGCGGAAGGGCGGTTGAGGACGCCTCGAAAATGCTCGGCCCATCGCTGTAGGACTTACGTCTTCTCAGTCAGGAGAGTACTGCCGTCGGCGCTGAGGAGAGGAGCAGTGCCCTTCGTCGGCGGACCGTAGACAGCTTTGATCGCAGAGAAGAAGTTCTTCCATTCGTTGCGGTCCGCGTACCCTTTGATCTCCTCAGCTTTGCGAGCAGTCCAGGCGTCCTGCATCTCGCGCAGTCGTTGCTGAAGCTGTCGGCGACTGCGGTAGAAGGCAGCTTTGTTGTCCTCAGTAGGGTGATCTACGTAGGCTTTGTGTAGGCGGTTCTTCTCAGCAAGCAGATTTCTGATGGCGGCGTCGTTGTCGTTGAACCAGTCCTGGTGTTGGCGGGGAGCGCGACCGAGGACGGCGAGCGCCGTCGACTGGACCGTGTCTCGCAGTTGACACCAGCGGTTCTCCACGGAGGTGTTCTCGGCAGCGGCGGCGTCGGCAGCGATAGGAAGGTTGTTTAGCCTTTGAGCTAGCTCATTGCTGAAATGAAGATGATGAGCGGGCCAAGACAACAAAGCAACATTCAGCTTACCTGGGGGTCGCTTACCTTGTGGTCTCCTGCGAGGCTGTAGGCGAATACACATCTTCGAGATGACGAGGCGATGGTCGGTCCAACCGTCAGCACCCGCGATCGCCTTCGTCACCAGCACGTCCCGCTGATCTCGCCTCCGGACGAGGACGTAGTCCAGCAGGTGCCACTGGCGCGACCGGGGATGCCTCCAGGTGGGCCTCTCTCGCTCCGGCAGACAGAAGAAGGTGTTCGTCAGGATGAGGCGGTGTTCTGCGCAGATGCGGAGCATCATCAGTCCGTTGTCGTTTGAGCCGCGGAGACCGTGGGGACCCAGCACTCCCCTCCAGGCAGTATGGTCTGTGCCGACGCGGGCGTTGAAGTCACCAGGCACAATCAACTTGTCCGCCTTCGACACAATCGCCAAGAGGGCGTGCAGGTCCTCGTAGAATTTGTCTCTTGCAGCGGCGTCGGGGCTGCTCATCGGCCGAGCGTAGGCGCTGATGATGGTAGCGAATTTGCCCCCACCTCCCGCCGGAGAGGCAGACGGAGGCTCATCAGGCGATCGTTGATGCCCTGCGGCAAGCAAGGCAGTAGTCCCACGATGTCGTTCCGGATGGCGAAGGCGACACCCGCGTCACGTCGCTCTGCCCTGGGTCGACCACTCCAGAAGAAGGTGTAGCCGGCACCCACCTCCTCCAGTTGGCCTTGTTCGGAGAAAGGGGTCTCGCTGAGTGCGGCGATGTTCACCTTGTAGCGCGCCAGTTCTCGTGCCACTAGCGCCGTCCTCCGTTCCGGTCGGTTGCTCCTCGGATTGTCTTAGAGGGAACGAACATTCCAGGCTGCCAGAGTGATCGGGCTCACCCTGCCAGTCTGGCGACTGCGGCGGCGAAAAGTAGGAGTAGGAGAAGAAGAAGAATAGGCTGGAAGAGGAAGAGAGTGATTGTTGTTGTTCTTGTTTCGGTTTTGGCTGTTTCGGCAGTGTGTGTTTTGTCTGCGGCCACGGCCAGCCTACAGACAGCGTGGTTCCCAGCGATCTTTAGGGCACCTTTTCTAGCCCCCTCTCCTCGCGAGTGCAGGCAGCGCATCCCTAAATAGGGCTGCCCGGTTATCCCAGACGGCTGCCGGACTCCACTATGGGCCACGACTTTTTGTTTGTGAGAGAACGACCCTAGTTAGCCTAGGACCTTGGTGGTTATGTGATAGAGTTAAGTAGGAGAGAGCATACACACAACCTAACGCTATGGGACTTACAGCTAGCTACAGTGGACAATCAGACACAGTCATCAGTCAGAGACATAAGTGAGAGGGCACCCCTCAAGATCAAGCACAGTAACACCTAGGTATTAGCAGAGAGAGGCATAGACTGACAGACAGACAGTCGCAGCAGGCATCAAGAGTTTCGTCTAGAGAGTAACAGACAGACTAACATATAGAGGGAAGGCAACAAGAGCAGCATACAACACGCAACTTCAACAGACAATGGGAAGAAACAAATCAAATTCACTTACCTGAAGAAGAACTTACCTGGCGGCCTCCTGCGATGGTCCAGGCAGAGCCACGTCTCGACGGTGCCGACGCGAAGATCCATCCGGTCAGCGGAGACCAGAGTACCGCGTGTGCAGGTGCACACACGGATACCCTCACCTGGTTTAGCCCGCCGGTCGAGGCTGTTGCCCGGCGTGTGGCCGCTGAGCAGAGCCCAGCTACGTGGAGCCACAGGTGGGAGTTGGGTACCAGCAAATGGACGCTAGGCGTAGTCTCACCTGCAAGCAAGTGAGCGACCATTACGACCATCACGTGAACCCAACGCTGACACCCCTACACCCCCCCCCACACACAATGACAGTTCGACCATCGGTTTCGATGATGTCCACCGTGGGCCCCACAGTTGCAGCAGCAATGGGAGCAGGGACGGTGACTTACGCAGGGGTTTATAGTGCCGGTAGACTTGCGTAGCATCTACCTACACTCTCTCCTCCTCCCCCGTCTGGGCCCGGTGTCAAGACAGAGTCAAGAAGACCGGAGACGAGAGAGGCCGCAGGTGGATGGCTCGGACGGATCCTCACCTTGGCGTTCGGCCACACCTCCTGGTCCACACATCAGGTAACCAGGTAACAGGCAATACACACACATACGCACACAGCAATCTGGTTATCATCTTAGAAAGACTAACCGGTGGATGGCAGTGCGGTTCTCCACAGGCTTTCGTTTCGGGTCGCAGGCGCTGAATGCGGATTTGACCAACTGGATTTAAGATCATATGCGCAAAAGTCGCCAGTTTTCTCGTCGATGCTACCCTATCTCCCACTCTCTCGGAGGCAAGTCAGGGTTTCCAAGCAAGGACGCGTCATTATTGCTATTTACTTCCCACAGTCCCTCTGTGGCTGATGGACTTTGGCGCAAATATTCATACTTTAAATTTCGGTCTGTGCCTATAGACCCTAGCTCTAACTGATTTACTCCAAACTAGCAGATAATTCCCGAGGAAATTAAAAAGCAACAATTTTCAAACTGGAGTATCTACCAGAAAGCACATGGGAAATGCTAAGGGGTCCCACTGAAGAGCCTAGCCATGCAGAGGCAGAACATCGACGAAACACGCTTGTCTGGGCTCTTAGCTAGTACCCGTGTTGCTAGTCTGGTATGTTCTAGATCTAAAATGACGCGTCATTTGGCTTGGCGTTTTAATGGCATTATATCGAATACATACGCTTGCGATCTGCACCACAAACGCATTTGCTTGAAATAAGGAGGTCATGTGCGGACCGTACAGGCCGAATAAAGCATGATTTTTTACGTCTTTATGCAGCATACAGCCACGCATCTTATCTTGAGCGGCTGCTGTTTTCAAACATTCTTGAAGCCAACTGACTAGTTGATACGCTCAGGAAAGTGTCTAACAACCCTATGGCCGTGGAAACAGAAAAAAATTTGATTTCGCAACTGACCATTTGAATTTTGTGCTTAGACCGCTTACTGCGCCTTCAGTGACGTGCTTGCAAATGTCACATCACAAAAGAAGCACAAAGAACCCCTTTTTTAAAATTCAAAAATACAGTCTTTTATCTACTAAATATCACACTTATTTGCGTCAGCGTTTTATAAGATTTAACTTTGTTGACTACAGACTCGGCAACTTTTTGTTTCAGAAAAAGAGATGACAACCTCTCCAGAAGACAGAGCAGGCAAAAAATAACTCCATTTGCATCTATTTGAATCGAGATTCTTCCGGGTAAAAAAACAAGGGAAGATTTAAATGCACCAAAGTCTCCCGTCTCTAGGCCTCTGCAGCTGAAGCTTTCTATGCATCTGGTTGTTGTTTGGGAATGGGTATAAGACGTTCTTTAGAGAAATCAGAGGCTACGGCTCCTCCGCTAGTAAACTCTGAATTATGACTACCTTATGGAGGCGACAAACTTACTACCGTTAAGAAGGGTCAACCGGAAACATGCCACCGCACTATCAAATAAACACTTTCTGGAAGTAAATTATAACTCGAAAAGGAGGTTAATGTAGACTTCCAGCGCTAGATGTCCTCTTAAAGCGATGAACTGAGAGATCATTACGCATAACAGTTTACTACAAATAAGCTAATGCGCAAATGGTTCTGCGCGATGAGAACAACCGACAGTTTGATCGTTCTTTTTCGACGACGTCCATTGTGTGCCCCACAGCACGGTGGGAGCAGGAACAGTGACTTGCGCGTGATCTCACTTATAACGATCGTACACTTTCGTAACAGCTATCTCGCTCTCTCCTCCTCCCCCATCTGGGCCCGGTGTCATGACGCAGTCAAGAAGATCGGGGACGAAAGAGGCCGCAGATGGCTGTTACGGCGTCATCTGCACCAAGGCGTATCACCAGACCCCCCCTCCACAGAAAACACCCGCTCAGGATATGAAAACGGTCGCCATACCTCCCATGGACGGAGTGATGCTAACAACTCGCCTTGTCAGGCGGGAACGCTCTGTCCTGACCAAGAAGACTATCCAGTTGAGCCAAATCAATTGTTTGAATAATTTTGCGAGATGGAAGCCCGTAAGATTTCGAATGCCGATGCAAGAGTTATCATATGTTAAAAGGAAAGAAATGAGGTAGTTCCAGCCAGACATCGAAGGACACTTCAGAAAGCATCAAACACAAGTGACACACGAAACCGACCACAGCATTACGCATTCAGCCCACACACCCTACGGATAGCGCTGACTAACAAGACGATAAGAAAGCAGACTTCAAATATCAACTGACGGTATAAAGAGGCTTGACCATATTTCTCCAAGGCCCGGAGTACGCAAGATACCGGGCACACCTCCGACTGGGACAAAACTCGCATCATCGACGTCTGCCGATCCGAGAAAGGTCAAGAAATCCTCGAACATTCTGAATGGAATAATATGAGCAAAAATCGAAGCGAGT